ACGCACACATACATATGCATATCAAGCTACATTTTTTATACAAACATATGAATAAGAACTTAGAATATATGCAGGTTTTGACACTGCTGGTCACTTTACAAAGATTTGACTCATATGAAAACCATATGTCCAGGACTCCTTGACATCTGAATATGTCCAGATAACAAAACAGTTTCAAATATAGATTAAGTAGAAACTTTTAGATCTGCTTCCACAAACCATTCATCCAAGGGTCTCAGTGCAGCTCACATGCCCTTCCCTCCTTGCAGGTGCCAGGACCTGGATGCGATGACTGGGGCTGCCGTCCACTGATTGCAAACGTTTGGAGCTACAGTGGATGGGTGCAGGGATGGATGCAGCTGCCAGGCTTGCTTTGACTCCTGAAAATTAGAGCCACGTGCTTAGAATGCTGTGGAGAAACCTATGGGAGCTCAGGTGCCCGGTCATGTTTGATGGTGGAATCTCACCCATTTCTTTACTGTGAAAGAAAATCTCTAATTTTGCTTAAGTCACTTTTTTTATGGGTGTGTTTTAATTCAAAGTTATGGTTTCCAATGAATACATTAGTCAAGCAACTTCCAACAGAGGAGAAGAAATGAGGATTGATGGTGGGGGAAATGTATAGGCAGTTCCTGATTATAATAGGGTATCCATTTCTATTGTCTGAAGTTGTAAAAGGTGAAGGTAACAGATAAAGCAATTGAAGTTAAAATCTGTTTCATAAAGTACAATGGAAACCAGGTAAAGACCTAAAAGAAAGATTACAAATCTTCTAATGTATGAGTAAAGAAATTAAAAAATGGAGAAATAGTTAACATAGATGGCCATTTTGGGTAAAATTGCAGTATTTCCAGAATCTCTTGCCTGGTTGCAGTGCATCTCCAAATAAATAGGTGTTTCCAAGGGGTGGAGAGAAGTAGACCATCTTCATATCAATAGGTAATGACAATGGGGAGTGAGGGAATATCTGGACCAAAGAGGGTGGGCAGGGCCCCTCTTTGCAGGCTGGTCAGGAGAGCCTCTGGCAAGTAGAAGTGGATGACTACTTGGAAGTAATAAACAGGTTTCTCCCACTTTATTTCTCCTTTTGATTTATTTTAGTTTTAAAGGTATTTTGTCCCAGGCTGGAAAAACATTCCCCCTCCCCCAGAGTTACATGAAGAAAGTTATACTAAACAAAAGTTTTACTCTTCTATAATGTAGATTTCTTTCACTTACATTAAGTTGAATAAGTATAAAATAAGTATGTGCCTATTATTATTATAAGTGCCAATTATTAGGTTAGTAGAAATTTGTACTTTTGAAGAAGTCGATAATATTCTCTCTAGGGAAGTATTTTTTTCCTAAGAGAAAATTGGGTATAATAAACTCTAAAATAAGTTGCAACATTCACACTGTATATGTGAGGTTTATTTTAATTTTTGTTCTTATTTTTCTTTGGGAAGATTATTTTACTTTCTCTCTGTTGAATGTTTTTACTGGGAATGAGCTCTCTGAAAAGACAATGAAAGTGTGAAGTAAATTCTGTACTGTTTAAGCCAAAATCAATAACTTGATGTTGGTCAAGATGTTAGTATGGTATGAACATGTATACCTTGGATAAATCAGTTAAGTTGAATACTAAAATGGTAAGATGAAGGGTGTGCAATTTCTACTATTACAGAGTGTGTGTTTAAACAAATGCTTATAATTAATTTCAACCCTAGAAATTGTGTATCCACACGCAAGTGTGTATCCAGATCCTCTGGCTGTGAAGTTCTGCTGCATCAAACGGATTTCTCTGACACAACGACCTGAATGTGTGTCCCCTAAAATGTCAGTCCATGAGACCTAACAGGCAGTAAGGATTCAACAAGCAGGAAGACCGATGAAATTTAGGACATTTTCGACTGCTTTAAATGATTACTTATCAATCCACTGGGTTAAAGAGGAAGGATATGCATTTCTTCTTTATCAATACAGCCTTAATAAGAAGCATCTTCCTGTTCATAATTTTTAATGTAATTTTATTTGATATTACTATACTAAAGAAATGATAATATTTTAACAATCTTAAAAAATTCAAGATTTATCAGAGATTATTTTTGCTTGATTAACTAATTTACTTTTTCTACATATAGTGAATCCAAGAAGTAAACATTTGATAAAGAACAGAGTTTCAGATTAGGTTCATTTCTTTTTAAATGCAGGCAAAGAATAAGGTATATAATTAAGAAAGCTGTTGTCTGGATAGTATCCATGAGAGAGCTACTCTTGGCCAATTTAATATTTAATGCCTCAAGACATTAATTTTCTTGTAATAGTACCTTTTCAAATTTTATAAATTTACTACAACATTTTCTTAAACTGAATATATAAAGATGTAGAAAACTGAAATTGTGCTTCTGTAGAGCCTTGATCTTTCTGATTTTGTGAACTGACAGGGTAGATGGTTTTTGTTTCACATATTTTAATTCACTCACTAAACACCCACTGATTGAATAATGATATCCAAGCACATTGTTGTTAGTGCAATCATTTCTTCCATAAATTTCATGACTTTAATATCATGAAAATACTTCTATTTTTCTCTGAAGTACAGTACAGATCTGTGGCTATGTGTGGAAAGAATAAAATCATCCCACAATGACATCAGAGATTCCTATTTAAATATTACATGGGGAAGAGGGATGGGAGGGTGGTCAGAATGGGTGAAGGGGATAAAGAGGTGCAGGCTTCCCATTATGAAATAAATTAGCCATGGGGATGAAAGTACAGTATATGGACTATAATAAATAATATTGTGGAATAGTTGTATATTATCTGCAGATAGTATCTTCATTTGTCATGGTGAGCATTTAGCAATGGATATTATTGTCAAATCACTAAGTTGTACACTGAAAACAATATAAAGTGTACATTAATTATATTTCAACTAAATAAAGTTAAGGAGTAGTTGCCCACAGGTAACTATTAAAGAGTTTATTCATTTTATGGAATATCTAAGAAAGAGTAAAATTAAAGATTGACATCCATAATGATTCCTTCAGTTTTCAAAAAACAGACAGATAGGCTGGCAGAAAGAACGGAAGTGAGAAGGAAAGATAGAAAGAATAGGAAGGAAAAGAAAATGACCAAGAAAAGAAGGAAGAATATAGTGAAATACTACATTAAAAAATTTGATAGATAATAATTTCATTTCATTTGTATAAATAAATCTTTACAGGTAGTTTGTATTATTTTACTATGCATTTAATCCCATCAAATATATCATTAATAATTTCCAGTAGATGAAATACGTATTGAGGTTGAACCATTTAAAATGTTTATATTTTCTAATCATCTTTCTCTTTTTCTACCATACACATGTGGTATTTAAAAACATAGTTTTCATAGTGACCAAAAGATTATAGAAATGATATTTAGATCTTCAGTTTAAGTTATTGTAAATACAAATGCAATTCAATAATTAAATGTGTTACTATGGTCAAAAGCTTCAGTCATACATAATTTTGTACCCTCACACTTCCTTGAATAATTACACATATGACGACATGTTTGTTTTAAGGGTAATGGGATTTGAATATCATGCCAATATATTACTTTCTAGTTTCACTTACATTTAGACACTATTGAACTGGTTTTATTTTCCTTTCTTATTTTAGTTTTTTAATGAAATACTGATGAGATACAATATTATGTTGGTTTCACACCCAAGTGACCCAAAAATTGTAGCCATGACCAAATGTTCAACACGGTAAGGGTAGTGACTGTGTCACCACGAAATTATACTACAATGTTGTTAGTACTATTGCCTATGCTGTACCTCCATCTTTCTGATTAAATTATTTTAATATGACAAGTTTATACCTCTTATTCAAGACATCTTTGCATCTGGATCACCAATGGTAACCAGTATCTGTTCTCTGTTTATGAGCCTATTTATGTTATATTTGTTTGCTTATGTCTTATAGGATAAAATATTTTTAAAAAATATACTAATTCTGGAAAACACCTGCTAAAATTCATACTACAATGATAATGATTCTAAGTTATAAAACCATTTCCATATTTATTCTCACCAACACATTTGTATAAACAGGAGACACACCATTCATTCTTTTCCATGTAAAAACTCGTGATAATTATTCTTTTTATGTCTCCTCATTGCTATCAGTTATTAAAATATATACCATGTATTTATTTATTATTGTTTGTGGGTTTTTGTTGTTGTACATGAAAGTGAAATCATGGGGGAGGAGGATGGGTGAAAAAAGGTGAAGAGGATAAAAAGGTACAAACTACAAATGATAAAATGAATTAGTCATAAGAGTGGAAGTACAACATAGAGAATATAACCAATAATATGTCATAATAGCGGTAACGGGTACATTTACTATGGTGAGCAACAATTAATGTAATTATTGAGTCATTCTGTTATGCAGCTAAAACCAATGTAATATTGTATAAGAAGTATACTGCAAATTTTTTTTACCTTGAAGTTATATACCTTAAAAATACATAGCTTCTGCCATTGATGTGATTAAACTGGAGATAGTGAATAAAATTCTACACAGTGAGATACTACAAAGCAAAATAAGGTAAATGACCAACTAGGTGTGGAGAACACAAAGGTAGCTCTCACTGAATTGTGGAATCCCAAACACTGGTGAATACAAAATACTTTTTTTAACATCTCCTTAGGGATGCAGAGGGCTTCCTTAGTGTAAGGATCTGAGAATGAGTATTACAAGCAACAACATGAAATCAGAAGATGTTTTAACAACAGTTCTAATAATCGGAATTTTTAATTAATATATGGATAACATATTCATCACCAACCACATACAGTATTTTTCAAATCTCTAATAAATAGTTCCCTTGTTTTTTCTCTAACTTGTGCTTGTTGACTTCCTCCCCTCCAGAAAGACCCCTGTGGAGAGAGGGGATAGACGGCTACAATCTCATCCCCGTGACTCACTTTATCCTCAGGGGGCTCTCTGACCTCCCCGAGGTGCGCTGTCCTCTCTCTGTGGTCTTTGCCGTCACCCACCAGGTCACCTTGGTGGGAAATTGGGCCATTCTCTTGGCCATCGGAATGGAGAAGAGGCTGCGCACACCCATGTATTACTTCCTGGCCAATCTGTCCCTCTTAGACATATTGTGCCCATCAGCTACTGTCCCCTGGATGCTGGACAACCTCTTGACTGGGAATCACAGCATTTCCTTCCTGGACTGTGCTTTGCAGCTTTATTTCCTGGTGGCCCTGGTGGGGACTGAGGTCTTCCTTCTCACTGTCATGGCTTATGACCAGTACATGGCCATCTGCTTCCCCCTCCATTACACCCTCATCATGACCAAGGCTCGCTGTGCCCAGCTGGCAGCAGGGTTTCTCCATTCCCTCCTCCATACGGTATCCACCTTCCAGCTGTCTTTCTGCAAGTCCAATCGGGTTAACCAGTACTACTGTGACATCCCCCCAGTGGTGGCCCTCTCCTGCTCATCCACCTACATGGCAGAAATGCTTGTTTTAGTGGTAGGAGGTGTCTCGGGAATTGGTGCCTTCCTAACCACCTTCATCTCTTACATTTACATCATATCCACCATCCTAAAGATCCAGTCACTGGAAGGGAAGCAAAAAGCCTTCTCCACATGTGCCTCCCGCCTCCTGGTGGTCTGTTTGTTCTATGGCACAGCCATCTTCACCTACATTCATCCCTCTTCAAGTCACCACTCCCCAGACAGGGACAGACTCATCGCCATGCTCTATGGGGTTATCACCCCAATGCTAAACCCTATGATCTACAGCTTGGGGAACACAGAGGTGAAAGGGGCACTCGGCAGGGTCCTATGTCACTGAGCATATTTACACTGAGTGTAAGACTAAAACAGAAAAAGTCCGTACTCATTTTAGAACACATTGATAAGAAGAATTTATATAAAATAATTTTTAATTGACACAGAATATATACTTACATATACATTGTAATTTATAAACATGTGAACATACAGGTAAGTGTAACCATGCCTATCTGTATGGTTATATGTCTATCTCTCTCAAAGGGGAATTTAAAATGTATTGTCCCCAAATAGACATTTCCATAAGCAGCAGAGAACATTAATCACACTATTAGGAGGTATAACGCGAGCCCATCATGTAAGTCAACTTTGGCTTTTGTTCACATTCATAGATATCCATATCTGTAGGTATACCTGTATCATCTTTACTTTTATCTACACTTTAAATCTCTATCTAAATCTCTTTCCATTGATACTTGTTTTATTTCATTTTTTTGAAAATGGCAATAGCCTTTTGCGATTGACTGCCTATACCAATAAATCTTTTATAACATCATTTCACTCAACCTGTCTTTCAGTTTTTGCTTCCACTTACAGTATATTTCTCTGCTTTTCTTCATTTTTGGTAACCCTGTCCATTCTCAGATCTATCTATGTCTCCAAAAAGAGGACTTACTTTCTCAATCTGTTATTTAGTAAGCTAATTCAGTTCACTATATTATTGCCTTTTTAACTTCTCATTTTTCAAAACTGAAAGCACCATATTTAACACATGCACACATTCTTATCAGCTGCCATGAATTTTTGGTGTCAATTTTCCCCAACCACACAGACTAAGTATGATCAGAGAGCTGTTGGTTCCGAGGGGATGGTGCATCTTGCACACTCCATTTTATGTTGTTTACTTTTCCTATCACATCTAGAAATAGGATGATTTTCTCTGTTCACTAATACTTATGTGATTCTTAGCTTTATCTACAATCATGGATCATTTTCTTCATAGTTTCCCCCAACCTGGGGATCCCAATTACCTTCCAGTTTTCGTCCCCAGTCAGATGGTCTCTCTCTGCATTTCTGATTCTCTTTCCACTCCTTGGCATTCACTGTGTTCTCTCTTCCTCTTTTCTGCATTCTCTCCTTCTTTTATCACTACTGAATTGTTCTTACATTATTCAAAGACATCCTGTTAACTCCGTCTCTGGACTGTAATTAATTTTCCAAGTCATTTTCAAATATTTATGAAATGAATGCCTCATCATACATACTTGTACCACATCAGCTAGGCTGTGTGCACATCTCCTGCCATACTTTGGAAACAATTTCATTTTCCAAAGCTCAGCATTGCACTGAAATACATCATCTGCAGCATTCCAGGGCTCTTCACAGAAGTGGCAGGTCCACTGCCCATCATTTTATTATTTTTTTGTATCATTAATCTACAATTACATGAGGAATATTATGTTTACTATGCTCTCCCCTTCCCCGAGACCCCCAACAAACGCCCTAACAGTCACTGCCATCAGCGTAGTAAGATGCAGTAGAGTAATTACTTGTCTTCTCTGTGTTGCACTGCCCTCCCTGTGCCTCCCCCCACATTATACATGCTAATTGTAATGCCCTCTTTCTCCACCCCCTCTTAACCTTCCCTTCCGACCCCTCCTGCCCAGTTCCTTTCCCTTTGGTAACTGTTAGTCCATTCTTGGGTTCTGTGATTCTGCTGCTGTTTTGTTCCTTCAGTTTTTTCTTTGTCCTTATATTCCACATATGAGTGAAATCGTTTGGTACTTGTCTTTCTCCACCTGGCTTATTTCACTGAGAATAATACCCTCTAGCTCCATCCATGTTGTTGCAAATGGTAGGATTTGTTTTCATCTTATGGCTGAACAATATTCCATTGCGTATGTGTACCACTACTTCTTTATCCTTTTTATCTATTGATGGACACTTAGGTTGCTTCCATTTCTTGGGCATTATAAATAGTGCTGCGATAAACATGGGGTGCATCTGTCTTTTTAAAACTGGGATGCTGCATTCTTAGGGTAAATTCCTAGAAATGGAATTCCTGGGTCAAATGGTATTTCTATTTTGAGCTTTTTGAGGAACCTCCATACTGCTTTCCACAATGGTTAAACTAATTTACATTCCCACCAGCAGTGGTCTCCTAAAATAAATGCACTGAATTCTATTTCCCCATTTAGTTCTGTTTGTATTTCTTTCACATATGTAGGTGCTCCTATGTTGGGTGCGTAGATATTTGTAGTGGTTATATACTGTTGTTGTTCTGACCCTTTTATCATTATGTAATGTCCTTCTTTGTCTCTTGTTAATTTCTTTGTTTTGAATTCTATTTTATCTGGTACAAGTATTGCAAATCCTGCTTTATTCTCTCTATTGTTTTCTAAAATATCTTTTTCCATCCCTTCACTCTTAGTCTATGTATGTCTTTGGGTTTGGTGTGACTCTCTTGTAGGCAGCATATAGATGGGTCTTGAATTTTATTCATTTTGTAACTCTATGTCTTTTGATTGGTGCATTCAGTCCATTTACATTTAAGGTGATTATCGACAGATTGGTACTTATTGCCATTGCATGCTTAGATTTGTGATTACCAAAGGTTCAATGGCAGCTTCTTTATTCTCTAACAGTCTAACTTAAGTTGCTTCTTATATTGTTACAACCACAATCTAAAGATATTTTTTTCTCCTTTCTTTTTTCTTCATCCTCCACACTTCATATATTACATGTCATATTCTGTACTCTTTGTGTATCTCTTGATTGACTTTGGGGGTAGCTGATTTAATTTTTTATTTGGTTAGTAATTAATTGGTCTACTTCCCTCACTGTGGTTTTATTTTCTCTGAGAACAGCTATTTAGCCTTAGGAGCACTTTCATCTAGAGCATTCCCTTTAAAATACACTGTAGAGATGGGTTGTGGAAGGTAAATTCCCTCAACTTTTGCTTATTTGAAAAATGTTTAATCCCTGCTTCAACTTTACATGATAATCTTGCCAGGTAGTGTATTCTTTGTTTGAGGCCCTTATACTTCATTGCCTTAAATATATCATGCCACTCCCCTCTGGCCTGTAAGGTTTCTATTGAGAAGTCCGATGATAGCCTGATGTTTTTTCCTTTGTAGGTGATCTTTTTTCTCTCTCTGACTGCTTTCAATAATCGAGCCTTGTCCTTGATCTTGCCATTTTAATTATTACACATCTTGGTAACTAATTTACATTCCCACCAGCAGTGTAGGAGGGTTCCCCTTTCTCCACAACCTCACCAACATTTGTTGTTGTTTGTCTTTTTGATGGTGGCGTTCCTTACCAGTGTGAGGAGATATCTCATTGTGGTTTCAATTTGCATTTTCTGATGACCAGCGATGTAGAGCATCATTTCATGTGTCTGTTGGCCATCTGTATTTCTTTTTTGGAGAACAGTCTCTTCAGCTCCTCTGCCCATTTTTTAATTGGATTATATGTTTTTTGTTTGTTGAGGCATGTGAGCTCTTTATATATTTTGGATTTCAAGGCTTTATCGGATCTGTCATTTACAAATATATTCTCCCATACTGTAGGGTTCCTTTTTGTTATATTGATGGTGTCTTTTGCTGTACAGGAGCTTTTCAGCATAATATAGTCCCACTTGTTCATTTTTGATTTTGTTTCCCTTGCCCGAGGAGATAAGTTCATGAAGAAGGCACTCATGTTTATGTCCAAGAGATTTTTGCCTATGTTTTTTCTAAGAGTTTTATGGTTTCATGATTTACATTCAGGTCTTTGATCCCTTTTGAATTTACTTTGGTGTATGGGGTTAGACAATGGTCAAGTTTCATTCTCTTACATGTAGCTGTCCATTATTGCCAACACCAAATGTTCAAGAGGCTGTCATTTCCCCATTGTATGTTCATGGCTCCTTTATCATTTATTAATTGACCATATATGTTTGGGTTAATTCTGGAGTCTCTACTCTGTTCCACTGGTCTGTGGCTCTGTTCTTGTGCCAGTACCAAATTGTCTTGATTACTGTGTCTTTGTAGTAGAGCTTAATGTTGGAGTGTGAGATCACCCCCCACTTTATTCTTCCTTCACAGGATTGCTTTGACTAATCGGGGTCTTTGGTGGTTCCATATGAATTTTTGAACTATTTGTTTCAGTTCGTTGAAGAATGCTCTTGGTAATTTGATAGGGATTGCATTGAATCTATATATTGCTTTAGGCAGATGGCCATTTTGACAATAAAAATTCTTCCTAGCCAAGAACATGGGATGAGTTTCCATTTGTTAGTGTCCTCTTTAATTTCTCTGAAGAGTGTCTTATAGTTTTCAGGGTATAAGTCTTTCACTTCCATGGTTAGGTTTATTCCTAGGTATTTTATTCTTTTTGATGCAATTCTGAATGGAATTGTTTTCCTGATTTCTCTTTCTGTTAGTTCATTGTTAGTGTATAGGAAAGCCACAGATTTCTGTGTGTTAATTTTGTATCCTGCAACTTTGCTGAATTCCAATATTAGTTCTAGTAGTTTTGGAGTGGAATCTTTAGGGTTTTTTATGTACAATATCATGTCATCTGCAAATAGTTACAGTTTAACTTCTTCTTTAACAATCTGGATTCCTTGTATTTCTTTGTTTTGTCTAATTGCCATGGCTAGGACCTCTAGTACTATGTTGAATAACAGTGGGGAGAGTGGACATTCCTGTTTTGTGCTCAATCTCAAAGGAAAAGCTTTCAACTTCTCTCTGTTCATTATGATGTTGGCTGTGGATTTATCATATATGGCTTTTATTGTGTTGAGGTACTTGCCCTCTCTATATATCCATTTTGTTGAGAGTTTTTATCATGAATGGATGTTGAATTTTGTGACTGCTTTTTCAGCGTCTATGGAGATGACCATGTGGTTTTTGTCCTTTTTGTTTATGTTGTGGGTGATGTTGATGGATTTCCAAATGTTGTACTATCCTTGCATCCCTGGGATGAATCCCACTTGGTAATGGTATATGATCCTCTTGATTTATATTTTAATTTGGTTTGCTAATATTTTGTTGAGTATATTTTCATCTACATTCA